AAGAAGAGATTAGAATAAGAAATTGATACTAATCCACTTTGACATTAATAGGCTATTTCTAGCTGAAAATAAAGTGTCAAAGGGATAAAGATTCTTGGATAATTTAAAAATTTTCTTTAAAAAAAGAAAGAAAGTGGAGGGAAAAAGGTGGAATCTGGGAAATGGAGGAGACCACCTGGAACTTAAAAAATCGATAGTGGAATTTTAACAAGGCTTGCAAAAGATACATTGGAGCTGAAACTTTGTCACAAGATAACAAAGCCCCTGGAAAGAGAAAGTGAGAAAAGAAGCAAGAAACAGTTTTGGGTTATTGGATGACTCCTGGAACTTTGGATGGAGAATCCTAATGAAACAAAATAAAATCAATTGGGGGTTGTTTAAAAAAAAATTTTTAAATGGCATCACTTTTTGAAGAGTTAAAAATGAGACTTAAAGAACAAAAAGAAGAAGCACAAGACGGAAGAGGATCTTTTGGCTTCATATTTCAATTTTACAAATGGAGATCTTGAACTATGAAAAACAACAAGAAACGCTGGCAGAACAAGAAGGGCGGGACAATGAAGAAGCCATCTTTAATGACCAAGCAATTTTAAGCGGGGTAAAAAAGGGAAAGGGGGGAAAGGGAGTTAAAAACTTAAGCACTGAAGCAACAACCAAAAAAAAAGAGTAATTTGAAAAGTAATCATAATATCAGGACAAAGCAGAAGGGAGGATCACAGAAGGGAGAATCAGATAGGAAAGGGAATAAAAAGGGGAGGGAGAAGAAGAGAGGGAAGAGGGAAAGGAAAAGAAGCTACAAAAGACAGAAACAAGTTATAGAGGTACAGGAAAAGCATACAAGAATTAAAGGTATAAACCTATTTAAAAGACACAGAGACAATGGTTAAAATTTAACTTAAGGAGAGGATTCTGCAAGGGTGCATGGGATAGCATTGTTATATTAGAAATAGAAAAGGGTTAGAAAATATGTTAGATGATTAAAGTGATAGAAAAAATTTCTATTGATGTGTAGTGGAATATTTGTTTGTAAGATAATAAGGGTCTCAATGATTTAAAAAGGAAGTTTTAAAAAAACTGAAAAGAAATATGGAAGATTTTTATCAGTTGACAAGATGAACTTGAATAAGAATAACTTTATTGACTACTGTTAATAACTATTGTTTGGTTTTTTATTTAAAGACAGTAATAAGTAAAATATGAAATATAGATCAGGGGTCCCCAACCGCCGGTCCGCGGACCGGTACCGGTCCGCGGAACAAGTCTTACCGGGCCGCTGGTTGCTGGGCGCCGCCATCTTTTTTTGATAAAAAAGTGCTTCCGGTGAGCTTTTCCGGGTAGAAAGCCATTTCTACCCGAAAAAGCTCACCGGAAGCGCTGGCGCCGCCATCTTTTTTGATGAAAAAGTGCTTCCGGTGAGGTCACCGGAAGCACTTTTTCGTCAAAAAAATATGGCGGCGCCCAGTTGATGCCGGTACCGGGCCGTGGCGCCCAGCTGATGCCGGTACCGGGCCGCGGCATAAAAAAGGTTGGGGATCACTGATATAGATGATTAAAGTGAAAGACAACTGATATTACTAGGTAATGTTTGTTAAAAGAAATAGAAATGTAAAAGATTGTTGTTAATATTAATGGCAGAGCTGTACTTGAATAGAATAATTATTCCATTTACTATTGTTATACATATATACACAGATATATGTACATATATACTTTTTCTTTTAAGAATTTAGTGTGTATTTTTAAGGGAATGTACCAAGCAGAATTCGATTGAAAATAGGTATGTGTTATAAAATAGAGGTTAGAAATTGAATGTTATAACTGTAAAGGTGTAACTTAAATTTTTAAATAAGATTTGAAAAAAGATACAAAGGTGTTACACTCCAGTCTAGCAATTACAGGGGAAAATTTGTTTTATGAGAAAAAATAATATGAAATTCTAAACAGGACAGACGAAAGTATAAAAACATTGATTAGAAAGATTTTAAAAATTAGAAAAAGATATGTAATTGAAATAAGAAAGGAATGAGATAATTTAAAATAAGGCTATAGGAAGTAAAGAAAGGGGAAAAAAGGGCCCAAAGTGGGACCTTGATTTCATTCCACTCAGCGCTGGTCGGATCTAGATCCAGCCTCCCAACCTTGGACTCAATCTGTGGGGGCGATGGCCCAGCAGGGTGTCACAGCCAGTCAACACCCCAGGCACCTGGGGCACTTGAGCTCTGGCAACCGCGACGGGATGAGGGGACTACCCAGATCAGCACACCCTCCTCCCCTAGCAGGTCCCAGACTGCCACTAGCTGATCAAATTCCTCCCAGATGGGCTTTCTACCCTGGGCATGGGTGGATTCAGTGCCAGTGGATGGTCCCACCACTGGCCCCACCAGTCACAGCCACCCTGCTGCAATTTTTGGCAACCTTTGATGGCATCCCGGGAAAACTGGCTTACTTTCTAAATCATATCTGGGCCCACATTGATCGCTATGGGGCTCAATACCAGTCAGACCAAGATATGATCTTGGCCATTGTGGACAATATGAGAAAGGGGGAAGCTGCTGAATAGATCACTCAACTCCACAATGAAAGACCCCCCGAGTTGGAAGATGTGGACAATTTCGTACAGTCACTCAGAGCTCAATTTGAGGACACAGCTAACCGGGAGGAAGCTGAGGTGGAGATCAAGGCATTGAAGGAAAGCAGCTGGCCCCCTAAAGAATTTTTGTGGGAGTTTAGGAGAGTAGCCAGAAAACTGCGGGACTGGCCTGAATGACTCTTTGTCCACTATTTCAAGGAGGCTTTGGATCAGGACCTGAGGCAAGCATGGGCCTACAGAGGGGTACCAGACTGAATCCAAGATTGGTATCGGATCGTATTGACTATGGATTTAGAGGTGTCTGCAACCTGTGGCTCCGGAGCCTCATGCAGCTCTTTGGGGCCTCTGCTGTGGCTCCCTGTCAGGTGATCCCACCACTGGCTGGCCCCGCCCCTTGCCCTCTCCTCCCAGTCACTTCTTGCCTGGCCTGAGAAGGTAAGGGTGATGGTGGGGGATGGAGAAGTGGCAAGGGCTGATTCTCCGGTGCCTCACTCTTGCTAGAGCTTCTTCTGGTCCTTATTGATGCTGGGCGTGCCTCGGTCACTTGGGAAGACGTGCAACTTGCTCTCTGCCCCGAGACACTAGCCCAATCCAGCCTCACTAACACAAGGGCTGGTGGGGTGGGAATGGGATCCAGGAGGGGATGACGGAAAGGGGGATGGGCCCGCAGCGCTCAGCCATGGCTTTTCAATTTTCACAGGGGACTTTTGCTGCCTGGAAGACGCTTTTCAATGAAAGCTGTCGCTGGCACCGCTCCACTGGAGGAATAAAGAAGCTCAGGACAGCGGGGAAAGGGGGCTGGCCCCACCAAACCCTGCATGCCCACCCCGGGGTAAGGCTCAAAGAAAGCAGGAGCATCTTCGCCAATGATGCTCACCCATCAGCTGGTCTCCCCGTGTGTGTGTGTGTTTGTGTGTGTGTGTATCTCTTCTCTGTCTCTGTGTCCCCGCCTCTCTCTGTCACTGTATCTCTTCTCTTCTCTCTCTCTCTTGGAAAGCAGAGGCTGGGCCAACCCAGCGAGCTCTCCCTGGGGCTCTTTGCTACTCCTTTTATTTCTTCTTGTCAACTTTTTTGAAATCTGGGTTGGCTGAGGAACAAGCGTGAGCAGCAGTGAAGTCTTCCCTTTGGGCGACCCTCCTCCTTTCCCCCCTTTTTCTCCTCTCGCAACCACAGTCGGCCAGGGGGTTGCGAGAAGAAAAGGGAGAGGGTGGAGGAGGGTCACCCAAAGGGAAGCCTCCACTATGGCTCATGCTTGTTCCTCAGTCAGTCCATCCAGTGTTTCATAGCAGCTTGTTAAAGCTAGCCACTAACTCCCAAATAAAACCAAGGGATCAACCTGCTCCTGAGCCAATTGTGGTGCAAGGGGAAACCCATTTATGAAGTGAAGAAAATATTGGACTCTAGATTGCATAGGGGCCGTTTACAGTATCTAATACATTGGAAGGGATATCGTTTGCCTGAAGCCACTTGGGTGAAAAGCTGGAATGTGAAAGCGGAAAGGTTGGTGAAGAAGTTTCACGAGAAATTCCCTGATAAGCCAAATGGGGTGGTGGTGGTTAGGTAACCTTCTGTCATATGTCTCATTTCAGGATGTTCTCATTTCTTGAAGGGAGGCAGCCTGTCAGCCCTGGATCCATCTTGAGACAGACTAAACAGAGCTGCCAAAGCGGGGGATGGGATAGCTGTGGGAAAGGGAGAGTAGTGAAGGGAGTATAGCGAAGTTGGCAAGAGGAGAAAAGCTAAGAAAGACTTGGATTTTAAAGACTCAAAGTTGATAGTATTGACCAATTATGAACTCGATTTTTTCAAGACAATTGGAGGACATTCAGGAATGGATTTTTCATTCCCAATCAGAAAACAAATGTTAAGAGATGCCATGTTACAATTTACAGGAGACATTTTTTGTACAACAAATGCTATGGAGATATACACAATAGTAACTTGTGCCTTTGGGGAATAAAATCCAATTGTTAGGAAAGATCCCGATTACTATCCTAAGGAAAAGACTCATTAAGAATCAATCAAGGATATTTGGTCCTGGATGGACCAGAAACAATGACTGTGGTAACTTATAACAGACGAGACTTTCTTCGTGTGAAATACAATAAATAGACTGTTAACAGAGGGTTCTGAAGTTTAATTTAGTTGTTGGTTTTACCTGTTAACTATGTTTCTATATAGTAGATAGAGGTTAGGCTAACTGGATTGGGTAAATATTGTTCTAGAAATTTTTAAATTGTGTGTCTGCTTCACAAAGGAGGAGGCATATAACCTTGTGGTATATTTATCAGTATTCAACTAGGAAACAATTTGTATGTGTCTATTTTGTTTTGTTTTTTATTTTATGCACTCTTTTTTGTGTAGTCTTGTTTAGTTGTTTGTTTTCTGCAGTTTTTTAGAGTTTGTATTTTAATGTTTTAAATAAAAATTAAAAATAGTGAAATAATATTAGGTCTAATTAATCAAAATGATTGGCAAAAAACCTTCTAAAAATCCCAACAGTATGCTACTGACAATATGTACAAAATCACTGCTATAATTGGTGTTCCCTGAGATAGGTTTAAAAAGTGCAAGTATTTGTAAAAAGACACTTTTTTGTTTTTAATCAGCACACTAAATCTCTGAAAATATCAGATAATTTTTTCTGTGATAACTTCATTCCAATTTGATTCTCATATATGTTGTGTGAAATTCATACTGGTTCCTTTGATTTGCTTTTACCATTTATGGTAACTAAAAATTTAATGTAATTTCAACTGCAGAAACAACGATCTCCAAAAGCAATGTCATCATGTCCATTCTCCTCTCCTCTCCACCTCCCCATCATTTGGTTTCCCCACCACTGCACTATAGATTGCCACACAAAACTCAGTGACCAACACATCATAACACATCAGCTAACAATGGAAACATTTATTGACATCACATCATGGGTAAAGTTATTACTTTACCTGAACAAAGCTGAGGAGGAAAATTAGCATATATATATATATGCCCCAAAAGAAAGGAAATAATGACACAATGGAAGGAAGATTAACACTATTCCTTGAATGTTTCATATTTTATTGATAACTAACTGAAACCAGTTTGAAGCATGGCATCCAAAACTGTACCTACCAAAGCCTCAGTGGTTAAGAATACTTCCCAAATGCTACCCAGTTTGTAAAATATATATCAGTTTTCTATTCTGCCATGTTCTCTATCATAGATCAAAATGTTTTGAAGCAGATGGTTTTCCTTGCTTTGAATTCCAGCAGCAGTAATCTTTGTTCTGTGTGTGCTCATTATCTAATCCCTCAGCAAAGATTCCCCATGCCATTCTAGCTATAGAGTCAATTCCATTTCTGCATGCAAAAATCTTATATCCATGGCCCATGTCTCTCCATTAAAATTGTTCAATTTTACCATACTGTATCTGTAAATGTACTAAGATTCTGGTGGCATCAAGTTTCTACAGAAGAAATCAATGCTTTCAATGATTCAAATCAATGATATCTGAATGGAAGTATGACTGGAAAATGGGACCCATAAACAAACCCAGCTCTACTTTAACACCTGTTTTATAGTAATGAACACAAAACATCAGAACTGAATACAACCTGATGCATGGATCATTGACCACTAACAACCCAAATCTTTATGCTGCACCCAAGTGGTAGGATTCATTTCCCTAAATGCCATCAGCCTGCTCCGATTTACCACAATCATACAATCTTCTCCCCACTTGCACCCTTAATTTGCTGGATTGAAGGTAGCCTCTTTTCTAAGTAGTCCTATGAATGTAACATGCATCTGGACACTGCAGTCCTCCAACCTGCATCCTGCCAATCCATTCATGCAATCTGGGCCAAGTCCATTTCATTCCCACACCTCTGTCCATATGGCCCTGTTGTAGCATGAGGGAATGGTGGGTGAGTGCAGCACAATCTCTCCTACCTGTTTATTGGTGTATTTCTGAGGGTTGGTACGGTAGCTGTAGTCTGAATACTGCTCCGAGCCTGTAGAATTGCTGTCCCCAGTGCCCACAAATGTATTGGTGGCTGGGAGGTCCTGTACTACCTGATGCTTCTTGGAGGCAGATGGTGATTGGGGTTGCAGTTGAATGGAAGGCAAAGGTGAATTGGAACGGTAATGGCGGCCCAAGTCAGGGCTTCCAGGTGGATAATTAAGAGGCAGATGGATGCGGGGACTGTCACTTACTGAATCATTCATAAGGTTGAATTTAAGCGATTTCTGCAGACCTGTTTCTTCTTCATCCTCAGTTGGTTTTGGTGGCTTAGTGGATTTGCTTTTTTTCACTTTGCTTTTGGCTTTGTTCCCTTTGCTACTTTGTTTGGGAGCGTACAGATCCTTAGTTTCCTTTTTGCCAGCTTGATAACCACTTTTGGCCTCCTTTTGACGGCAGTAGCGTACCAACACAACTAGCAAAATTATCAAGGTAACAGCCACAATGCCTGCAATGACTCCAAACAAAATATTACTGCGCTGCTTGTTGCGTTCATACTCTGGGTCTCCAGCAATGTCAATGTCAATAGGTGTGTCCAGGCTGTGTCCTACTAGAGTCTCCAACAGTGTCCGATTAGCCAATGTTTCATTCACATAAAAATGAACTAATGCTGTGCCATGGTGAGAAGGTTTCCCTTTGTCATTTACATGTACAACCAAGCGGTGAAGTCCATGGTGCTTGCGGAGAATCTCTTTTTCTAGTGTGATATTTCCACTTACAGATGAAATCTTAAAGAGTTCAAAGGGGTTTCCCCCAGCAATTCTAAATAGTAATTCAGCATTGATTCCAGAATCAATGTCTTCAGCTCCAACACTCATAACCTGTTGCCCAGGACTAGTATTAGGCAGAATATGTTTATAGGAAGCATTGGATGGAAATATAATTACAGGAGCATTGTCATTCTCATCTAATACATTAATTGTCACCCCCACATAAGCAGATCTAGGTGGGTCTCCCCCATCCACAGCTTTAAGGCGGAAAGTGTAAGTACTTTGTCGTTCACGATCAAAAGATATACTGGAGAGAATGGTTCCAGTACCATTTTGGATGACAAAGTCACCATTGTCCTGTTCCACTGACAGCTGAATGACAGCATTATCTCCTTTGTCTGCATCAATAACTGTCACCATGCCCACTGGACTCAGCGGTGGCATGTTTTCCATGACAGAAAAATTGTAGCCACTGAGCATGAATTTTGGATCGTTATCATTGCGATCCATGACACTGATGGCAATTGAGGCAGTTCCTTTGCGGCTAGGGCTACCCTTGTCAGTTGCAACTACTAAGAATTCATAACGTTCTTGCTGTTCCCGGTCCAGCACATTTTTTACATGGATTTCACCAGATTCTGGATCAATTGAGAAAGTGTCTTTTGATAAAGATTCTCCAGCAAGGGAGTAGACCAGTTTAGCATTAGATCCACTATCTGCATCAGTAGCACTCACTTCTACCACCAAGTCATTTGGAGAATTATTCTCAGGAAATGCCACCTCTGTTGAGCTCTGGCTAAACACTGGATCATTGTCATTGACATCCATCACCTGCACTTTTAGGGAATTAGTGCTTGACAGGGGTGGGTTACCAGAATCCACAGCTACAATCTCAATGGTATACTCTTTCACTGCTTCATAATCCAAAGGTGTAGTGGTCTGTAGAAAATATTTCTTTTTGCTATCACTGCCGGTATCACTGGCTTGTCGCAGCTGAAAAGGTACATCACCAGCCACCACACAGGTTACAACAGCATTTTCACCCTCATCCCGATCAGACACCTGCACCAGAGCCACAGGTGTCTCAACTGGCACATCTTCTGAAATATTGGCAATGCCATCCTGATGAGTCACCAAACCAATACCACGAATTTCAATGGATGGAGCATTATCATTCATATCCCTGACACTGATCACTACCTGGGCACGGGCTGTTTTGGGGTTAGCTCCCTTGTCCTTAGCCAACACTGAGAACTTGAGCACATTAATATCTTCACGATCAACAGGACCTTGTACTGTGATGAGTCCAGTAGCTCTGTCTAAGCGTAGCAGCCGATGAATTACATCTGAAGCCTGATGGAAGGAATAATCAATCTCAGCATTGGCACCCTGATCAGAATCATTGGCTTTCACCTGTAATGAAAAAAGAATCTAATCAGATAATACTTCAGTGCTTTCAAGTTTTGGGTGCTACTTCCAGAGAATTTAAAATATCATGACCTAATTACAATTAAACAGCAGTAGACATTATTAAATAAATGATTGCAGAATATTACACTTACAATGAAATGTTTGTCCTGATCCCACTCTCTTTTTTGAGGGAGGGGTGTGCATGTTTTTGGAATCCACTCAAAAAGCAAGTGTGAGCCTTGACCCGGTCAATTTCATACTTCACTACTATATAATGTAAAGTGCAGAATTGGGTAAATTTGGAAAAACTGTAACGTATAAAGATATCTTAAATGAGAAATGGGAAATTAAAATTAAATAGGAATTACAAAACCAAGGAGTAGACCCGGCATAGTGGCCACATTTGCAAATACAATCAGGATACAAGAAAGACACAGACTTATGGTTTCTATAAAGAGCTAACAACACCTGACCAGATACTATTAGGAATGGATGAAAAATTAATCAAGAAATTATATAACTACTTATTAAGCTTTAAAATGGAAGATGAACACGTGAAATAAACAATGAAAGTATGGGCAAAATTATTTGGATATACTATAGAATTAGATAAATGGCAAAAACTCTAGGATATAAATTATAAATTGACAATGGCAACTACATACAAGGAGAATCTGTATAAAATGTTTTATAGGTGGCATTTGCCACCAGCAAGATGTTTACCACTAGCAAAGATGTTTAAAAATATGTCTGCCAAATGTTGGAAATGCAATCAGATACCAGGTTCATATTACCATATGTGGTGGACATGTCCAAAGGCAAAAAAAAAAGGATGAAAATACATACATGGTTAGAGAAATGATAAAGCAACATATAGTTTTAAAACCAGTAATATTTTTGTTAGGTATATTGCCAGAAAATATGACAAAGGGAATGTATATTTAATATTATATGTTTTGACAGCAGCGAGAATTGTACAACATTGGAAAAGTGAGGAAGATCCTACAGATGAAAATATAATTAAAAAAATATTAGATTGTGTGGAAATGGATAGGTTAACATTAAAGATAAAGGACAAAGCTCGTGTAGGCACCAGGGAGCAGAGCCTCATTAAGGCTTCCGCTCAGGTCAGTCTGATTTGCAAGCCTGTTAAAAATAAAGAGGCTGCAGCGGCGGAATAGAACTCCTGCTCTTCGCACCGCTGTGGTCCTGATAAGGACCTGTTGCAACTGACGAACACTGTAATTCGTTGTCGGTTGTCAGCATTTTAAAAGGAAAAATTTTAGAAATAAAATGAAACCTTTCAAATTCTGCAGGCTGTTCTGAAATAGTAGCTTTCCGATGATCCTGGTAAGGAACGCATTTCTAGCTCGAATGACAGGCTGAGCTAAAACTGGGGACAAGCAGCAAAGGGGAGTGTCCTCAGATCTTTACTCAGCCTATTGAATGGCAGACAGAAGTACTACCCTGACCTGGATGCTCGGAACAGCTCACTGGAGAATATTTTTCAACCTGGGATTTGTTTACCAATGGGTAGATAATAAAGGTAGAAATTAGAAGTTGGAAGAATATCATTATATACAAGTAAAGAATATTTTTATTAACATCATTATTTATATGTAAATTGACTCAGATAATACACTGTTTATTAAGCACTCATATATGTTAACAAAAAATGTATAAATAAAATTATATATATAAAAAAATTAAAGCAGCATTCAGAACTGAAAAGGTTGGCCATCCCTGCTATTGAGTGACATTTAAAACTAAATAAACCTCACCAATTTCAGGAACACCAGTGCACTAGATCTATTGTTTGTAGTTTACCTATACAAGTTATACCATATTTTTTGGAGTATAAGATGCACTTTTTTCACCCCCAAAAGTGGGTGGAAATGTCTGTGCGTCTTATACAGTGAATGTTGCCGAAGCCCCACCCACCTGCCAGCCCCCACCCTTTGGCCTCTGCCTCCCAGCAATGCCTCCTTGCAGCAAACAGCAAACAGCCTGTTTCAGCTTCAGCACAGCCTGATTAGCATAAGCAGCTGGTTGTTGGTTGGATCTGTCTCCCGACGATCAGCTGTTTCAGGCTGCAGGGCTTGCCATTGCCTATTGCTGCCTCTGTGAGCCGCATTTTTGGCCTCTGCATGCCCCATTTTCGGCCTCCGCGTGCCCCGTTTTCTGCCCATTCTGATCCCCACCACCCAGAACAGGTGGAATCCTTGCAATTCCTATGGTAATTCCTGCAGCCTGAAACAGCTGATCGTCAGGAGGTCAATCCAACTGACAAACAGCTGTTTGTGCTAATCAGGCTGTGCTGAACTGAAACTGAAACGGGTTGTTTTCTGCAAAGAGGCAAATTGCTGGGAGGCAGAAGCAGATTTTTTTTTCTTGTTTTCCTCCCCAAAAGCTAGGTGTGTCTTATACTTTGGAGCGTCTTATACTGCGAAAAATACGGTAATTAATGAGTGAGCAGAAAGATGACAGAGGTATATTTTCAATATAGAGCAGTTTGACAAGGTATTTTTGATTCCCTCATATTTGAATAATAGAAAAAGGGATACTTAACCTGCAACTGATTCATCTAATGATCACCTAAAATTTACACATATAGGTTATGTACTTAAACAAAGTCCTGAAAATAGTCCTGAATTAAGATTTTGGCACGAATGTTGACCTTTCTGTATCATTCATCCTCTAATGTGCAGTTCCTACATTTACATCTGGTTCTGCGAGACTCAAGCAATGGACATGGGAGCAAATCACAAATGATACAATCTGGAGTAGGGGGAAAGGGTTCACTCATCATCAATTCTTCCCCTTAGTTGTCTAACATATGACCAGAAGAAGGCATAGCCCTGCCAAATAAATCATAGGAAAATTGTAGATCAAACCAAAATGCCAAATGAAGATAGAAGGCTACAATTAGATAGTATTCTTGCATATTGAAGTAAGGTGAGCAGAAAGGCAAACCAATTGCAGGCAGCAAAACCAACCAGTGAAGAATAAAGAGGCAAGCCAGTGAGCAAGTGGAGCCAGCTGCTGAGGAGGGAGGAAAATCAGCTGTGGGGCAGAGAGACCAGCAAACTGACGGCAGTGCAACGACCAAAAGAGAATGAAGAGGCGAGTTGTTGAGAGAGCAGAGAAGGGAGGAAAAGAAAAGAGAAGTGAACTTTTGTGGACCGCCGAGCTGGTGAGAGAGCAGAACAGGAAGGAAGGGAAGAGAGGAGAGATGAGCTTGCTGGGGCCCATCCAGGCAGTTCTGTTTGCTGGTGGAAGCAGCATCCTGGCGCAACAGACAAGCAAACAGGAGCCATGTGGCTGCATAGCAAAAAGCAGCAGCAATGCAACAGGGAGGAGACAGACCCAGCAGCAGCAGGGGGCAGCACAGTAGGCTAGAGCCTGAGACAGCTCAGAGAGCAACATGGAAAGCAATGGGGGAGCTGCGTGGAGGGCTAAGGGCCAGAGTCGACCAGAAAACTGAAAGGCAGGCCAAGAGAGCTGACCAGTGCAGGGATGAGGCTGAAAAGACCTGCGCACCAAAGAACAGAAGGGGGCTGGCAGAGAAAATAACAAGAGGCTAAAGCAACGAATGACAGAAGTGAAGGCAACAAATTAAGCCTGGGGTTTCAATAGGCAGGGAGGGAAGACCCTGGTAAAGAATAAAAATAAATACAGGACAGAAAATAAAAGATAACTAGACAAATAATAAGGACAAGAGTGGAAAATTAGAAATCAAGGAAGAATAGGATTAATAAAATCAAATAAATAAGGGAAATCTTAAATAATAAGATAGGGAAGAATTAGAGCTCAAAAACTTCAAAAAATATAAAGAAAAGAATAAATAAAACTAACATAATAGTAACAATTAAATAAATAACAAGGTAGAAAAATGAGCACAAAAAAGAAGAAAGGATAGGAAAAAAGAAAGAAACATAATTTTTTAATCCTTAAAAGAACCAGCAAAAAGAAACAAACTCATGGTACAGGCGACTGATATTATTGTGGTATGCAATGTATGTTCTATGTATGTGCTTATGCCCAAGGAACACCCAAATTATACATGTATTTAAGTAACCTATGTGAACTACTAGAGAAAAAAGTAAGGGATCTAGAGGCAACTCTAGCCAAACTCTAACCTATGCAATACAGCTATGCACAATTTGAACGAAATAATAAACAAATAACTCCAGGAGGATTTGACCCTGCTGATAAACCCTTGGAGGAAGATAAATGGACGACATAGAAGGAAACACAATAATCAAAGAAAGAAGCAATTTCTCCCCCTAGATGAAAATACGCAGACCACAACCTCCCCCTCAAAGGAAACATGCAAACATCTAAAAAAGAGACATCATCAAATATCCCTAAAAATTCACATCAACAAACACACCAGAGATCAACAGAAAAGCACCTCAGACTGCACCCCTGAAAAAAGGAATGTGAGTGTGTTGGTGATAGGAGATTCTATTCTCAAAGGAATAGAACTAGCCACCTGCAGACTGGACATACAATTTAGGAAGTTATGTTGTCTCCCTGGAGCAAAAATAAAAAAATGTGGCTGAGATTTAAAATAATTAGGCCCACAAAATAATTAGGCCCACAGATTACTACCCTTTCCTTCTCCTTCACATTGGGACAAATGACACAACAAAAAAATCTGAGTGCAATATTGAGAGATTATAAGCAACTAGGCAATAATGTTAAGTAGTGTTCTCATTAGTACTCCCAACAAAAGGTCAACACCCTTTGAGGGGAAAAAGAATTCTAGAAATAAACCACTGGCTAAAGGGTTGGTGTCGCCAAAAAAACTTTGGTTTCCTGGGCCATGGATTGCATTACCTACACCAAGGACTCTTGGAAAAAGATGGGAAAACAGGGGAAAATATACCTGGGAAAAGACTGGCCCAACTCATCACAAGGAGTGGGAGGGTGACCAATCTTTAGAATCTATAGAACACAAAACCAATCATAAATCCCAAGAAAATCAAACAATGAGGTAG